AGAATAAAAGAATCAGGATATCAATAATTTGTTATTCTCTTTATAATTAGTTGTTTTGTCTTTGTTTTTTCTCAGTCCTCTTTGCTGAGGAAGAGGTCAGTTGTTCTTCCGGTGCCTTCCGTATTTTCTCAAGGATGATCCTTCAAATGCATTCAAGACTGTTCAGGTGAGCATTTGTATCAAAAATGATCTGTGAACAATTTCTTTATAAGTGAAAGTAGTGATGTGATATTAGATGTAGTTATACAAAGAAGGGTTTTAAAGCCATACTATGCAACTTTTTCACATTATTAAATCACTTTCTGGAGCCAGTATGTGCTAAAATGAACCTTTGCTGGGGTGATGAAATGTCACACAGACCCTAAAGCTTGGTTTATGCTTGACGCATTTACTTTCTGCTTGGTGATGCTGCTCGCGGATGGAACGCGCTTCACAACTCGCATCGTTTATGGTTCGTGCGGCTCGTCTCTGCGGTGAGCCAATATTCTCCCAAACTGAACGGGGCAGCATGGAGCTCTATGGCATGCATCCAACACTACACCATAGTAGAAGTAAAAATTACTGTTTACAACATGGCATTCCAGCATTTTTAACAGCATCCTCGTCTTTTCCGACAGTGCGAGCTATTTCTCTCCAAGAATTATTAACAACATGTTGATCACGGTGATCTCTGAGAGCTGAATCATACAAATGTCTGTATTTACCAACCTCTGCCATACTAGTTCTTGCCGGTCCGCCATGTTTTTCCGTGTCCGACCGTCCGCGTGGTTAGAAAATTTCCTAGGTGCACGTTGCGGAAATTTTGGGCCGTGTGGAGATGCGGTGGAGAGCCGTGGTTGTTAAAATGACGCAACTTTTCTGCGCGGAGCCGTGCGGAGCTCGCGGACGCGTCAAGCATAAACCAACCTTTACCGCCCTCTGTTCTGCAGCTCTCCATGAGAGGGGGGGGGGGGGGGGTGCACACGTTCCGCTGCTGTTTCTCACCAGTATCAGCTGATGGAGGACTGTTGTGCCGTTCGTGTCAGCGGTCGGGGAGAAGGGGGGGGGGCATGACGCTTAGCCTGGCGGGTGGGCAAACAAAGCCTGCTAAGCGCTGGGGGAAACGCTGAAATATGAAAAAGTTGCAAAGTATGCCTTTAAAAGGGCAAACGCACAGCGAGGAGATACAGTACGTTTCAATTCTGCTTTGACCACAGACAGACACCAGGGGGCGCTAAAAACAAGCAAAACTGCCTAGTCTCCTTTTAACAAGGTTGTCTGTAGAATTATCCAAATATTGCAAGGGGTCATAGTGAGTAATTTGCTTTATAACTTGTGTAGGCCATTGACGAGGAAGCCACACTCACTCGGGGAATGAAAGTTGGAGTTCTGCTGGTGAAAGATGGAGAGGACATCATTGCCACATCAGTCATTCTTGAGGAACAAGTGGTCCTGCCTGATGTGGAGGACATTCCTCATGCCATTGCTCTACTGATGGGTCTGCTTTTTGCCTTTAATATAGACTATCCAAAGGAACTCAGGTACACATTTGAAGTTTTTCAAAAGGTCCTGATGAACATCGGCGGAGGTCAGTGTTCCTCCCTTGTGCATGGTTTGAAAAACAGACTGTTACAAAAAACCATGTAGATTCTCCTGAAATGTCTCATCTCATGACTCATGGATGTCTGAGCTTTTTGAAAGCACTCAACATTTCCTGTTAAACATTGTTCCAAAGGTCATATAGAAGTTTGGCACATGGTTTGGAATTCTTGTTTTGTTATTTCATCTGTTTAGGTTTATTCCATCAGAAAATATAGTCATATCGGTTCAAAGCCAATCAAATGCATAGGTTGATAAAAACTATTGCAATAAAGAGGTCAACATAAGACCAAATGATAGATGACAAGATTAAAATGTGCACTATTTGTTTAGAACTACTATTTTGAATTGTAGTATCATTTTGAATTTTATTATTGTTTTTATTTGTGCAAGGTTTTGTTAGATGCTTTAAAAGTTTATGCACTTGAGTTAATGTGCAATTACTTGTCTCATTTAAGACACTAAATATGTTCTAACTATAAGACCTTGATAAGCTGCTGTGTTAATGTTTTTTTTTTTGAGTGCAGACTGTTCTAAAACGTTTTCACTATTCATTACAAAACAAAACAGCTTCAGTAAATGTTGCAGAGCTGTAACTTCATTACTGCTAAATAAATAAATAAACTAGCTGAGTTGATGAACATGTGTGTATTGCTTCTGTTTTTAGAGGTGAAATTTATCACTAAATGGATCATTTTGTGTGAAATGTACATAAATTAATCATATAAATGTTTTAAATTTCCAATATACAGTGCCCCCATCTTTTTGCGATATGGCAAATGTTTTAAATGATTTAGTTAAGTTGACTTAAACATTTCTTCCAAATGAATTGATACTTTTAAATTGAGTCAACATACATTTATGGATTACACGGACTGTACCAGTCAGTTCTCTCAATACCCAAACTAGTTTTGACAACGTAAAATTATTAATTGTGGTTAAAGTTAAAAAAACTAAAAGAAGTTGAATCAACTCTTGATTATAAATTAAACTAACTTAAAAACATGTTGGTATAACAAGAGAGTTTAATTTGTGATAAAATATGGTAATGTTAAGACAACAAATTTTGTTTTTTCATTTAACTCAAAATTTTAATGCAGCCCTTTCACTCGTATTTTTAAGTTGAAACAATATGTTTTATTTTACAGTGTGTGCGTGTGCGTGCGTGTGTGTGTGGGTATGTATATATGTATATAGGTGTGTGCGTAAGTAAACATGTGTGTGGGTATACATGTTCTTATGTGTTTTTAGGTATTTTTATTCTCATTTATTATGGTTGTTGTCTGTTTTAGAGAGCGAACATCTACCGAAGACAAATTCCTTGTAAATGTAATTTTACTTGCCCAATAAATCTGAATCTGAAATCTGATCTCTGATACACCCGACAACTGCAGAGTCATCTGAGTATTTCTGTAGATGACAGGTCTCTGATTTGTACTGGAAGTCTGAGGTGTACAGGGTGAAAAGGAATGGTGAGAGTACAGTCCCCTGTGGTGCTCCAATGTTACTGATCACCTGGTTTGATGTGCAGTTCTTCAGCCTCACAAACGGTGGTCTGTTTGTCAGGTAGTCTTTAATCCAGGCGATAGTTGAGGAACAAGGAAAAAGTTTCATGTTCTGATACGGAAGGTTAAGAACTTGCTCAGAATTTTCTGTTTTACAAACATCAGCGTGTATTCTCTTAACTCAGCAGAGTGAAATGCTGCCCTTATGAAATAATGAGACTGGCGTGTGTCACGTCCCCTCCTAGCCGTCCAGGAGGATGAGGGGACAAACAGTGAAAATAGGCAGATGGGTGTGACGGTGCAAATAACGAGGTGAGGAGAGTAAAAGGGTTTCTTAACAAAGGAAGTCCTCTTAAAGGCTAAAGACAACCAAAGAATCCTTCTCTAAACCAAAGATAATCCAACTAAAGGTCCACAGCTATTCTAACGAAAACACCTACATCAGAATGATCCCCAGCTGTAAAGTCTTCAGGGAGAAATGCACTCAAAACAGAGTCTAGCTCTGTAAAAAGGCCAAGTCAGGCAGGATTGACGGTTAACGTCAAAGATAAAACTTCTAACAAGTCGAAAACGGGCAAAGACTATGGCTTAGCAGTACCGGTGCAGGAGGATCACAGACTAGTTCTGGACCTCCTCGACTGTCTGCTGCGCTCCTCGTTTGAAGTCCTGTGGGCTGCTTGATGGCTGATTCAGGTCAGCTGCTGCCTTTTGGCGTGCCTCTCTCCAAGGTCCTGGACTGCCACGAGTGAGCTGCTCTGGGAACTGTCCCAGGTGCTGAAAACTCGGCGGTGGGGACAGCAGGCTCAGATAAGGATGGCGAGGAGGACCGAGAGGACGAGGGTCGTCACAGCGTGTTATTATGGTCTGGGCCACCACAAACACAAATGACAGCATGTTTCAGACACAAACTGCATTCATGTGGTTTTTATGACGTAGGGAATAAAAAAAAAAGATCCTAACCCCTAATCCTAATCCTGACTACAACATAGTAATAGTATTCATAGCAATTCAGATGAGATTCAAGGATTTATCAGAACATATTTGAGGTTTCTGAAGGGTTTCAAAGACTTTCTTCAGAGAACTTTTAATAACTGTGTTTTTAAATCAAAGCTGAGCTCGATCCAACCTTTACAAACATATAATAAGTCATTTTATTCTGTTATAATGCAAATGTCTTTTTAGCTCACAGCATTTCAAAAATAATCCACCCAGATGGATTTAATGGGAAAAATGGGGCCGTTTTATAAAGAATGCAATTTCCTAAATTATATTACGTTACATTTGCTTTGAACGGTTTTCCTTCTTTCAAGCTAAAATTCCCGTGACCGTTTTTATCGGCTCCACAAAGACTCTAAATGTCATTAGCTGAAAGATATATGCACTGGAAATTCCTCTTCCTATTGAATCCTGCTCCAGCCACGAGAAACAGTCCAAGCATGAAATTACGACGTCTAACCCTGCAGAGCCGTTAAATCTGAAATTTAAATTGCATAGAAAGAGGAAATGCTAACAAATAACTTCTTATCGTGGAAACGGATAACGTTAAAACCATGCTGTGTGTTCAGACTCGTGTATGGCTGCTGAATCCCTCATTTGTACAACTCATTTCAACTCCCGCTAACCAGGACCACCACCTGTTGGGTTTTAGAACGTTGGAGTTTGGTTTTGGTCTTTTCCAGAGCAGAGATGATGAGTTTCCACCTCAGGGTGCACAGAAGGGTCCGCTGAGCTTCAGGAAAACCTGTTAGCCAAAAGTAAACCTGACTTGTGCCAAACTGCGGAGCCTTTTGGCGCCAGCACTGACGTCTTATTTCTGTCTCTTCTTGTCTCATTTTCTCTCTCCACCTCTTTGCCCCAAACTCTCATTTCAATTCATCTTCACACACAAAAATACTGCTTCTCATCTCCTCGTCCTCCTCGCTCTCAGATTATGGTGCTGACAGATCCGGAGTTTGAAAGCAGCGTGCTCATCAGCACTGACGAGGGTGCCAGTTACCAGAAGTACCGCCTCTCCTTCTTCATCCTCAGTCTGTTATTCCACCCGATGGAGGAGGACTGGGCCTTAGCTTACAGCCACGACCAGAAGGTGAGATTCTTCTTTTTAGGGTCTTCTGGGTTCATCATGTTCCTCACACAGAGACGCTTTCTTCTACAAATCTCTCAACACAAACCTTGATCAGGGTCACATCTTTTCTATCAAAGGATGGATGTGAGTCAAGTGTTAAAAAAAGACTGATTTAATTTTGTGGTTTATATAAAACTGACTTTTATAGGCTTGTGTGACCATTTCAGTTATTTTCAACAGTTAATGAAGACTGCACAAATGCAATGTTTCTGAGTTAGGTTGCAAATCGACGTTAAACTGACATAAAAACCTGAGCCTCCAGGAAGCATTTCAATAAAAAAGATGCTTTTAAAAAAGTCCAGAAGCGTGATGTTTCTGCTCAGGAAGACTGTAGAAACCCAGAAACGGAGAACGCAGGTCATTGCAGCCAGAGCGGTGCACCTGATCGACACCATGAACAGTTATATTTAGAATAATTAAAATAAAACTACAAACAGTATCCAGAAGAAGCTGAGACACCAAAACAGGATACACACATTTTTAAAAGCAGCTGAATTTTTCTAGAATGTGTGACTAACATGGTTTATCATGGGGAGGGGGTCAAAGGCACACACGCCCTCAAGGTACAGCCGAGTGTGTGTGTGTGTGTGTGTGTGTGTGTGTGTGTGTGTGTGTGCGCGCGCGCACGTGCGTGTATGAGTGTGTGGGTGGGTGGTGGGGGGGTATGGATGACTGCGCTGCTCTGGGCGGCTGCATGTGGGAGTAGCTCTGTTGACCATAGAGCTCCGGGAGTTGACGTCACTTCTCCCGGCATGCAACGGTTCAAATCGAAACGGCGCCATCTTGGCAGGTAGAAGCCGGCAGCTGGACTATTTGTTATTGTCAGAAAACTCAATCAGACAGGAAATACGGTAGATTCATGTTGTGCCCCAGGATGCAGAACAGACGCGGACGACATAAGGAATGAGCCATCTACAGGATTCCCCAAGATCCGGAGCGCCGCAAACGTTGGATCATTGTAATAAAACGCGCTAGTGACCGGGCTAAAATGAAGCTGTGGGATCCCGAGAGTAAAGGTTCTCGCTTATGCAGCGACCGCTTCATATCAGGTACTTAAACCAACGTTTCCTCAACTGTGTATGGTATTTATTTTAAATGCTTTTATTACGATTCTTAGTGGGCTTCCTAAACTTATTTTGGCGTGGCTTTTTCTGTCTTATTACTCATAGCAACAAGTAAACATCACGTAAAACGTTGCCTCGTGAGTTCTGCGTGCTGCCGTTTACGTGTTTTATGATCACAGCAATTAACCGGCTAAGCTGTATTTAATTTTTAAGCAATGGTTGATCAATTGTCAGATCACACATAAAAAGCACTTTGGATTGCTATTATCTGTCTCACCGAGACAGATCTCAGACAGATCCTGAGACGCTCCTGCCTGACATTTTTATTTTATTCACGGAAAACAATCAGACTAGTGATTTCTCTTGGCGTTCAGTTTATACATTCAAACAGCACAGCACTCTATTTAAACTACTTACATGTAAATCTGTTATTTGTACATCTATCCATCCATTTTCATCCGCTTATCCGGAGTCGGGTTGCGGGGGCTGTAGCATCGAGAGGCCCAGACTTCCCTCTCCCCAGCCGCCTGAGCCAGCTCCTCCGGGGGAATCCCAAGGGGTTCCCCGGCCAGGTCCGGTAAGAAGTCCGCTCCGACAGCTTCTGGCGTTTTTAAAAAGTATCCCAGGGGCACGGTAAGGGTCGGAGATGTTTAGTCTATTTAATTTCTGACTATATAAAATGATTTCCTCAGTTTTATGTTGTTTATGTTGTTTAGCAGACGCTTTTACCCAAAGCGACTTACAATTTTTTTTTAACCTATAGGGCATGTTGTGATGTGTGGGGGAAACCGGAGTACCCAGAGAAAACCCACACATGCATGGGGAGAACACGCAACTCCACGCAGAAAGGCGAGTTTTGAACCTGCGACCTTCGTGCTGCGAGGCAACAGTGCTAACCACTGCGCCACCATGCAGCCAGTTTTAAAGTGTGAAGTAAACTCCGACGAAGTAAAATCTAAGCAGATCCCGTTCACGTTCACGTTTACGATCCGTGTTTGTTTACCTTTTTATCCTGCCAATATGGCATCTACTAACTGAGAGTCACGTGGGGTCCGGAGCTCTATGTGTAGGTTTTGCCTTTTTATGGACATTTTTTTCTTCTAGTTTCTCAAGAAAAACTGTATTTTTTGAACATTTTACTTTCCTGTTTCTGGGGCTGTGAAGCTTGGAGGATTTTTACTGCTATCTTTTCACTTTTTTCACTTTTTGAGCATTTGTTATGATGCGTAACCATGGCAACGAGCTGGTTTACTATCGGGAGCAGTTGATTAACATTGGAAAGGCTGAAATAATACCTCAACTGAAGCCACAAATCTGGGAAAGACTCGAGACCTTTTCATACTGAATGCAGAACGGATGCAGCTTCCACATCAACCAAAAGTCATTGAGCCCGATCAGAGCATTCACACCGACTGTGGAGCTCCGGAAAGTTTCCGCATGGAGTCTATTTTTTTCCAGATGCTACATGTGGATTGTCATGAAGTAAAAGAAATTGCATGATCCAGACAGGAAGTGAGATGTGTTTCAGTGAGGTATTAGGTTTATTTCAAATTAAAACGTACTTAGCATGATTTTTACCTGCTTTAGTTTTGTTTTTAATGACGGGGATGTCAGTTCAGTGTATGGTAGTTCATGTTATTTTTACAGGTATATTTTTAAAAGGATCGCATGACATTTACAATCATTTGGTGCTGTGGAAGCAGTCATCTGGAGACGTTCGGCACACGAGCCACAGTCGATGTGAGTGGTAGCTGGCTGGACGCAGTATGGAAACCGGACCGCCTCCGCACCATATTCAGTGTGAAATGGGCTTAAAGAGCAAGTCACCCCCTTCCAGATTCTTACTCAACTCCCTCTGAAAAATACAACCAATGCCGTTGCCTAGCAGACCGAGAGGGCGAAGCCGCTAACAAGTACACACACACACACACACACACACACACACACACACACACACACACACACACACACACACACACACACAGGCTCGTAATGACATTGTGACATCATGTGGTACCAGCTAACGTTCTAGGGTGCCTCTTATCCAATAGCGATGGCAGATTTAAATTCAAATGCAGTGCAGAGTTTTTACCTGACAACGGCACAACACTGACAGTTTTAGGCAGAAGATTAAAATTTTAATAAAAATGCACCAAAGTGCAAAACTGTTGACTACACGTGTCTGCAGCACGATTAGACACGCATTTATATAGTTTATCAGAAACAAGTGTTGGTTTGGGGGTGACTTGCTCTTTAAGGGTCGAACCAAGAGGAGCTGCCTGTGGTGGATTACGTTTTTGTTCAGAATTGCTCATGGGAGGATGCGATTTGGAAATGCCCTACATGGATGGGTTGACCCAGGAGGACTGGTGGAGCAAGTGTTGGAGGTGACTGTGGAGAGAAGTAGAGGATGAAGAGAAGGAGATGTCTTAATGGTAAAGGGCCGGTTTTTGTATATCGCCTTCTTAGGGTTCTACAACCCCTCAAGGCACTTCACAACACAATCAGTCATCCACCAATTCACACACGCATTCACACTCTGGTGATGATGAGTTACAGTGTAGCCACAGCTGATCTGGGGCGCACTGACAGAGGTGAGTCCACTGGTCCCACTGACCACCATCAGCAGCCCAGGCAGGTTAAGTCTCCTGCCTAACAGAAGCATTCTCTGGTGGGAGTCGGAATTGAACCTGCAACCTTCCGATTACTGGGCAACCAACTCCACCTCCTGAGCTACTGTTGTACCAAAGACAGACATGACATCATAAATACCATACTACTACTACTTGTCATATTGTCTCTAGGTGAACATGTTAAGATGCTAAATGCAACACAATCCTGATCTGACTTGAAATCAGTTTGTTGTAATAAAACAAGGTTTTCAGTATTTATTTATATTTTTTATATTTAAAGTAAAGAGAAATAGTCATTTAATCTTTAAACTAGAGCTTTAATATTAATTTCAGTGATTGTTGAATTAGAAACTTGACTAGTTTGTTAGTAGACACCACTCTGCTGGCAAAAACTACACTTGACAGTTTAGTGGAGCAGGTAGATTCCCTCTAGGGAGAACTCTTTACCTTCTTTACAGCTGTAATGCTAGCAGTTAGCCTTTTCAGTTCGCTGATTGTCAATAAAAAGCTCAAGAGGAAGAAAAAGAAGTTTGCTTTAGTGTTGGCATCATGGCGGAGCTTGGTAGTAAAAGTAACATCTTTGTGAAGCGAAGCAAAGAGCTAAAACCAAAGTGGACATTGACACGGCCTACTCTAGTTTGGGGGAGCTAAAAGAGGCTAGAAATCATGGACTGATGGTGACCTGGCTTTGTTGCTAATGGGGTTGTACGTAATAATATTTTTGGTCCAACAGTGTGGATTGTTTTGCTTTGTGATTTATTTTAGTATTAGCTGGCTCATGTTAGGGTTAGCTCATTGTTAGCACTAGCTACAGCAGGCTGCAGCAGGTTTACAACAGTTGTAATTCCACTTTCAACCAGTAGGGCGGAGGCACAGGAAACGGCTCTGTGTTACTTTAAGGTAACAAAGCAAAAACATTATGTATGTCCATTTATTTTCCCTCCAGTGAGACTTTTTACTTCTGCCTGTAGGAGAGCCTTGTAAGAGTTTAGTGGTTCATGTAACCCTGATGGAAACATGACTCCAGTTTAACGAACACAGATGTGAAAACGTGTTAACTTTTGTGCACTAAACCTTTTGACTCAGTGATTCTCAGCTGAAAGCTCTTACTCTAAATGTGGCTCTTATTCCCACTCCAGTCATCATCCAGGTGTCACCTTCACTGGTCTTTATCCACAGTGTGAATCTTTGCACATCGTTCTCACACAGAGCTCAGAGATTGGGCCTTCAAATGTCTGCCATTAGGGTCAGAGACCCTGATCCA